AATGTATAGCAACTCAGACTCACTGCATTTTAGTTTGAGGCTGGCATGTTCCCAAGAGAGAGAGTAGATATACAGTGAGGGTGGCCAAAGACAGCTTTATGTTGCTGCCCCCATCGGACACTTTTGCTCTGCATGAAAGTCAGCAGAACAGAACTCACATCTTGCACCTCCACAGTGCAGGCTCTTAGCACCAACTTACCTCCATGAGCTGGTTTTGGTTTCATCAGAGCCTGGCCACACGTTTGGCTTTCAGCTGGAGCGTTGGTAGTGCCAGGAAATGCTCCTTTCTAATGTTGGTCCTGAGGATACTGATCTTGGGCAAAGGAGAGGAGCAGGCAGGTAGAGCAGTACAGTCTTTGTCCACTGTGAAAGGTTCATGGCAACATGTCTGTCAGAATCATCAGTCCTATGTCCTTAAACAATTTTCTCCTCTCAGTATCACTAATGTCAGTCATCATGTCATATTTTGTCTGGATAAACATTTACAGGGGATAGTAAAGAAGGAATGAATTTAACAGTCATGCAATATGGTGAGGTGCACAGTGACCACTGCGGAATTTATTGTTAAGAGGAGATGCAAAAAGCATATGTATGTTGTGCTGCTTGTGGAATTATGTTGTTCTACTGCGTGTACTATGTGCTAATGCAGGACAGGGCAGCTCTGAACAGTCTCTGCTGAGGGAATATCTGACATCCTGGAAATGCTCCAAAAGTTCTTTCAAACCATTGAGGTACAGGATGTTCAACCAGTACCTATTGCATTAAAAGGGCTCTGTTCTGGTAATCTAATATTTGCAAAAATTACTTTATTCATGTAAACCCAACAACATGAGGGTGACCAGGACATGACTGCTTTGCAGCCAAAGAGTATATTAGCAATCAATAAGTGAGAGCTAGAGCATACACTATGCTTTTTTAAGCTTCTCTCCATCACGGATTTGATAGAGTCATCACAGAGTCTTACCTGTTCTTTTTCAAGATCAGGCTGTCATCAGACTAACACTGAGCAAACACAGGCAGAAGTCATAAGGAACATTTGTTCAAATATGGAACCTGAATTCACTCTTCCCAGTCCTTTGAGTCATCTCAGCAAATCTGAGAGAGTTGTGGGGTTTTTTTAACCTGGCATCTTATGGAAGCGGCAAACATTCAGTCGGATGAGTATGACTGTGCATGGTTGGGGTTTTTCCATTCTGCATCCCCTCCCCCAGTATCTTTTAGACCTAATGGCTCTTTGCCCTCCTACCTCTATGCAGAAAATTAGAGAACCACATTTTTCTGGAGACCACTATGCTCCCCTGTCAAATTCTTGGCTTTCCACAAACATTGTCATCAGTTTGGAAGATGAAGTGAAACATTTGTGAAGGATGGTGGATCTGACTCTGGCACAGTCAGCCTGCAGTCTCTGGGGATTCATTTCTTCCCTTCCTAAGTCATTGCAAGGAAGCAACAGAAGTGAAATTATGCTTCTTCAATCACCTACCTCCACAGAAAAAAATCAAAGAGGGGGGAAAAAAAAGAACAATGAAGTATTGAAGCTGAAGCCAAAGCCAAAGCAAATAGTTCAGGAACCGTCCATGAGCTGAAATAAGTTCCCATTCATCTGTGTGCTGTACAAGTCCAAATAATTAAAATGACTCTAAAAATGTCCTGCTCACTGATAACTCACAAATAAAAGAAAGATAAATATGTCATATTCCTCAGTAAATTTTAAAAAGTAATTTTTAATTTACCATGGCGATTTTCTTCTGAATGATCTAGTGACTGGAATGGAGGATTTACCTGATGGACATACTCATGCACTTAGGGCACGCAGGGGCATGGGACTCCACTGCTTTCTTTAGTCCCTGAAATTTTAGATTCAGATTTAACTTAAATTCATTCATAAAATTAGTACATTTTAGAGACTAGTACAAACATCCAACTCAGTTGTTCCTAAAGCGGTGTCTTCCATTTGTGGGGCAGAGAGAGGAATGAGAAGGTGCTGCTGCCAGCTGTGTAGGGATCTGACCTGCTGGAGCTGTGGATGCTCTACCCTGACACCCTCGGAGAAGCAGTCGGCAGACATGAAGGCTCTCACACCCTCAGTCACCATGTGAGCAGGACAGTCCTTACTCATGGGCAAGGCAGCTTTGTGATGCCCGTGGAAATTTTGCTTTCTGGTTCTCCATCCCATCAGTCTTCAGCAGAGGTAAATCACCAGAGCTGTTTACACAGCCGAAAGAACTTACCACAAGCAGCGAGAGCTTGTGGTTTGCTGGTGATTCCTATCAGATCCACATGTCATGACATTTTTCCACTGCAGTTCAGTACTCTGCAGCTAAGCATGCTGCTCCAAAGCCACTTCTGTTCTTTTTAACATGTAGATAGAGCAATGGAAGTTAAGCTTGCATGAAAGCAGGAAAGAAAAGTGCAGCTCATTGCAGAGTAAGACTGTGTTCTGAAGCTGGAATGAATGAATAGCAGTGCATTATATATCATACTCATACAGACATATAGTACTACTGCACAATCTCTCAGTACCTGATGAAGGTTTGCTTTTTATGTTAGGAAGGGGATAAGAGGAAGGGGATCAGTTCATCATCAAGTATTTCTGGAGAAGAACCAGCTCGCTTACTGTGGGTTAAGTTGTTTTACAGTCAATACACAGCTGAGACAATGACTTTAGGAATGATATTACCTAGATAAGAAAGAATTGTGGTGCCCAGCGACAGGACAAGGGGCAATGGGCACAAACTGAAACATAAGAGGGTTCAGTTGGATATGAGGAAAAACTTCGTCACTTTGAGGGTAACAGAGCACTGGAACAGGCTGCCCAGGGGGTTGTGGAGTCTGCTTCTCTGGAGATATTCAAAGCCCGCCTGGACGATGTCCTGTGCAACCTGCTCTGGGTGAGCCTGCTTTAGCAGGGGGCTTGGACTAGATGATCTCCCGAGGTCCCTTCCAACCCTTGCCATTCTGTGATTCTGTGTGATTCGGTGAATTTGAGTGTATGTTTGATTATCAAAACATAGAGGCCAAGGCTTGCGCACTTGCACCTCAGCATCCCAAAGCAGTGTTCTTTGAGCTCTAGGACATGAACCTCAGGTCTACAAATTGACTGCAAAAATTCATGGAGCACACATGCTTCCTTGCAATGAAAGAAATGATCAAAATTAAGGAAAACTGAAAATTAACAATCAGTAATTTAAACATTAACATCCTCTATATGTGGTTGCAAATGAATACCTGTGTGACAACACAGTGTAGTACCACCTAGAAATTCTTTCAAAAAATGCTAGGTGGGCCCTGCTATTACAACAGTTTGAGAAACATTGCTTGCACTTAGTGGGTGGGTAACCTTCTTGGGTTAAGTTCAGACAAGTACTTGGATCTCTGGCTTCTCACACAGGAGAACTAACCATTTGCATAAATGAGTAACTTCAAGCGTCTCATGCCCCTCCTTAGCACCCCCACCCCTTCCAGTATGAGGTCCCTTCTTGACATTCGTTCTTCATGCCATGCGCATCTCTGTGCTCAACTTGCTGCACTACCAAGCTAGATTCATTTATTGCATAGAGTACTGTATAGCGGACTGCAGGACTGCATTCCACTAGGCTACACAGTGCCAGGAAGCTAAGCACAGTTAACAGTAAGTGTAATGATGCCAAAAATCCTTTCACCGCTGCAGGTCTTGGTCACTCTCAGGCGAAGACCTGGCCCACAGACCCAAAACTCAAACTTAATCTAGCTTTTCCTTGCCAAAGCTTTAGAGGAGCAAAATCTCTAGAACTCAGAAAGCTGCCAAAGAGATACAAGTCAGAAATAATTTCTAAGTCCCATTAAAAAACCTGACCTACGTGTTATAGGCATGCTACATGGACACCACTGCTACCTGGTTTGCTACCCTTAATCTGACCGCTTTAGTGATCTGCTGTGTCCCTGGGTTGTGTGCTGGATGCAACTGCCTACACCAAGCACTGGGCTCTTTCAACATCTCTGAGGTACCACACCCTCTCCCCATGCCACAAAGAGATCAGGAGCTGGTCAAATTAAATTCCTTTATTAATGGAATGGTTTTAATAGACCAAAAATGAAACGGATGAAAGGAATGCTTGTCCTTTACAGTTGCCAGAAAAAGTAAATATCGTCTACAGACATTATACAGCTTTCTTTTAACCAAAATTAAATACGGTCCATAGCAAAGCAAGCAATCTGTAGAAACGTATTGTTATGTTGCTATTGCAAACTATTTACATTGGATAAAAAACGGGTGTCTCAAAGCCAGCTTTAACCCTAGTTGATCACTGTTATGATTCTGTGTATCTTGCCCTCATCTCCCCTTTTTGCTATTATATATAAATCAGGCATTAACAAGGTTAAAGGAGTGAGTGATCACAAAGCAATCACAAAACAAGCTCTGAGTAGAGAGTGAACTCCCTTCCTCACCACCCAGCGTGACTACTCTGTCACCCTCCTTCAAGATTTAAGAAGGAGTTTATCACCTCCCTGCAGGCTCTTCCCACATCCAACCATTTGTCTCTCCAGTCAACTTACTTTCAGTGCCAGGAGTCCCCGCGAAGGCTATACCTGGTACGAGAATATACATTTTAAATATACATATTTTAAAGGAGTATATTTTCTTCTAGCAGTACTGTGTGCTGTCTCTGCAAATGCATGTTCACAGTAAAACCATGTCAAATAAATATTTGAAGGAATCAGCACAGTGCATCCAGTTTCACTTTCCAAACGGAAAGCAGTGTGTCTGCTTTTAGTGGTGGTATAAGGCAGAGACTTAATACAAATCCAGCTTTGCTAAGTCACGATCATGAACAAAGAAATCCTGCCTAATTACAAAATACTTGATTAACAACTCAGCCAAACAAAGGGATAGGTTTACTATACACCAAAACTATTTGCTGAAAAGGACTTCACTGCTGGTTTCATAGCAGACATACAGCACAGAGAGTATGTTTTTTCAGTTTGCAAAAAGGATTAATCAGAATAGTTTGTCCATTCAATCAAACATTGCTCTGCTGTAACAACATCGTTCTCAGTTCCCTCTCTCTTTGATCCTCCTGCCTGTATTTCTCCTCTAGTTTTTGTTTTTCAGAGTCCATACTATAAAAAGTGGAATCTGTGCTTCTCCTAATCTTCTCAAACTGACTGAAATCCGCAACGTATTTTCCATTTGGAGAGAGAGAAACCACAGGCACGAACTCATAGCCCCAGTGAATCTCCTCAGGGATGTAGGAAGTCCTGCTTTGACAGACAGCACTGGTGGACTCCACCGTGGCGTTCAGGAGCACCACAAGCTCGAAGTCCTTCTCCTTCAGATTTTGAGGTGTGAGATCTCTCAAAGGGCTGCTTTCATCCAAGATATGGTAGAAGGTTAAAGGCAAAATGAGAAATGGACTCTCTGAAGTTGGTTTCATACGTCTGAAGGAGCTTCCCAGACAGCTGACACTGTATCAGAAGGCTCTTCCTCATATTTGCTACTCTGATCACCAGGCAGAGTTCTCCGTTGTGTTTAGTAATGACAGCGCAGTGACTGAATTTAATGGTCTCTGCCCTTTTTTTAGGTCTTGCAATTTTGGCCAGAAAGGTACCTGTGATGAAGATTTCAATCAAGGTGGTGATGACCAGTTGGGCTACAAGTAAGAAAATGGCATGAGGACACTCCTCTGTAATGAAACGAAATCCATAGCCAATGGTCGTCTGTGACTCCAGGGAGAAGAGGAATGCCCCAGTCAGAGAGTCTACATTCTTGACACATGGCTCACGCTTTGGGGTGAACTTATTTATTTCTAAATCACCATGAAGGAATGCAATGGCATAGTAGATAACTCCAAAGAGGAACCAGGTCATAACAAAAGTAGCAGCAAATAAGGTGAGTTTGTACCTCCACTTCATGTCTATAACTGTAGTCCACAAATCTTGAAGGTAGAGTAGGTAAATGCCATCAACTTTGTCTATCCGCACATTGCTGTGACCGCTTTTGGACATCACACGGGGTTTGTGTGCCTTGAGCATGGCAGTGTCGATGCCTCCGTTAACCAGTGGGACGCGGGACATATTAATCTTTGTGGTTTCCATTCTCACTGCTTCAGTCCTAAGGAGAGAATAAAAGAAGACTGTTACTTAGTGAAATCAAAGCACATAACTGATTCTGAAAATCAATTGAAAATGTTGACGGAGAGAAGGCACAAACATAATCTAAACACAGCAGCAGTGAATAAAAACAGTTGGAATATAAAGTTCCCATCATACAATATCTGACATTACAAGTAATTTCATATTCTTTTTTTCCAGGAAAAAAAAAAAAAATCATTCGTTGATTCTGGTGAGTGCCAAATATGGAGAAGTAGGTTTCTTTTATGATAGCCTGCAAAACAAATTTGACCAAGCTGAAATTTTATATTAGTACTTTATTTCTGTAAAATGCATTAAATCTTTTTTTCTTACGTTTCTCTAGAGAAGAGTCTCTTTTTGATTACTGAGAAGGTTTTCTTTAATGCCCTGAAGAGAGACATCTGATCAAAATTAGTCGCCTCAGTGCTTGGTTTAGAACGCAGATCCAGCACACCACCTCTGTCTCTTCCTGCGACAGAGGCAAAATGAGCCAGACCAGCTTTCACTGTGAACAATTAACTTCCACAAGTGATTTACTCAGTCGGATCTGGCTCTTTGTTACAAACCTACAGCTAACCTAGAGGGAAACAAAGCAGACCTGCACACATGAAAGTCGAGTTTTGGAAAGGAATATTTACACCTGAAAACACTTCGAAGCTGTTTGCACTGTGCAGCACTCCTATTTTAAGCCACCTAAGTAAAAAAACAGGAGGTAATTCACAAAGTCAGCATTCTAGCCATGGGCCCTGACCTGAGCGAACCCAGCAATCATTGGACCACCCGACTCCTGAAGTTTGTTTACTGTGCATCTGTCCGGATAGAGAGTAAGTGTGCGGACACTCCAGACTAACAAAGCCCACAGAGCGAAGCAGAACGGCGCCTGTGCCAGTTTGATGAGGCAAGTAACAAGACCCGGCTTGCAGGACCAGACAGTGATTACGTAGAGCAAGGACAGTGCGTGTTATAGCCGTTTCCAACAACAAAACTTGACAAAAACAACAAAGAAAAAAAACATCACATGCATCCTTTGTGCTTTGGCAGGTCGTACAAAAAGCATTGTTTTGTTCCATTGTTTTCCTCAAAAAGAGCCTTAAGTAAGTGATTCGGTTTTGTGAACCACTGGAAAAAAAAAAGAAAAAACCCAACATCTTCCTTATAGCTACTTAAAAGAATCTTGCAGGAAGTACAAGATATATTTGTGGTACGCACATGTGCCAGTCCAGGACATCAGCATAATTGCTCACTGAAGTACCTTTCCTGTTATGTCAATTAAGGAAAATTTTTGTTTATGACTATACCCATCACACTGTCGCAGGTTTTCTGGGAAAGGGTAATTAAACTTAACTCCCATTAACACCTGTAGTTCATTCCAGTTTTGGTTTAATCACCAACATTTCTCTTCCACAGCCTAGCAGCCATTGCCATATATATGTATATAAAAGAAAGGAACGCATCAGTGATCCCAGTAGGAGATTCCTTATGTGACAGTCAAATCAACACACAGTGCGCAGCATGTCCGGATAATAAACAGGAAAAAACCTTCAAGTGATCTGAAAAAGAACAACAGGAGGAAATGGGGGGGTGGGAGGGGTAGGGGTAGGAAGGAGCATACATGCAACTGCTCTTTAGGCAAACTCAAAATCAAGCGCTACTGTCAGTGCACGGTAAATACATGCAACCTCTAATGGGAAACCTTTTAGGAAAACATATACCGCTTAGTGAAGAGGCTTCAGTCCCCACACTGAGCCTCACCCTGAATAAGCCATGGATATACAACATGTGCAAAAGTATGTCTCAAGAATAAGTATGCTTCTTCCTCTCAAGCACACTTCCCCTTAGCCATTACTTCCAGGTGCAACCATTATGTTGTCAGAACAAATTTCTCTGCCATAAATTGCTAGGCCAGGAGATAGCTGGCCTCTCCAATCCAGCACTGCGGACACATCCTCATCCCATCCCATCCCATCCCCCTGCTCAGCCTACCTGGACGCTTGCTCCTGGGAGCAGCTCCCCAGGGCTGCCAGCTCCTCCTCCTCTGGAGGCCACGAGGATGGAGGCGGCCAAGGCTCCACCTTCCCTCCTCAGTGCTCCAGCTGGTGGGCTTGAGCTGGTGGGGCAGGGTCAGGGCTCATGGGCTCAGCAAAGAGGTGGCTTACCTGCTTAGGGTCAGGGGTGGCCCAAGGCAAGGAACACGCAGACATTTGGTATACCACATGCACCGGGGCTCCACCATGCCCAAGAAACACTGGCTTCTGCACAAGTGGGTGGCATATGTGTAATAAATCTGGCATGTTTGGGATGCACTGGGAATGCTCTTCAGAGCAGCTCTGCCCCACATGTATTGTGGCTCTGATACTTCCTTCATATGCCAGACTTGGTATGCATACACTGCACCATTTATCTGCAGCACCAGCTGGGTCCACAGTTTCAACCTGCACAAGGGCCTGGTGAGAATTCTTGCCCCTGCCTCTGGTCTGCCCTGAAATCCATGGTTCTCTTTCTGGGCACCCTGAACAGAGAAAATCCTGACACTGCAGCCCGCCACTATTCCAGACCTCATGGAGGACACCTAACGTCACAGACATACAGAAATGCCATAGCAGAAGAGTTCCCCCCACAAAACAGGAGGCAGAAAGGTAGTTATAAGATACAATGTCTTCCCTGGGCTACACCAACATAGGGACAGCTGCAAAATTTACCATTTCAGGCTTAACCTGAGAAGGAAAGCTTTGCTGCAGCCCTAGGCGATGTCTGGCATGTTCCAGGCTGTGTTTCAACTCACAACCAAAGCCTTTTCTCACTCCACTATCTACTGTCCCATGTGTAAAGCTGATCTCCACATGTGAGGTCAGCACAGCAGAGCTGTTAGTTTTGGAGACCGCCATAGATGAAAGAGGCTGTGTCAGAGCTCCCCAGTCCTCTTTAGTGTCCTCCCTTGATTTGTATTTCTGTATGTGACAAAGTTACTCAGCTTTACAGTGATTTCCTGAAATGGATCCCAGCCAATTTCTGGTGCTTTTTTTGGTGGTAGGGTATTTTTTGCCTTGATTTGCTTCCTATTTTTTTCTCTTACATCACTTTTTCCTGTGTGATCCTGAATTCCTCTAGTGC